GTTCAGACTGTGACATCTATGACACTGTTTTGTGACAATAAGGCTACTATAAGTATTGCCAAAAATCCTGTTTATCATGATAGGACCAAGCACATAGAGCTGGACCGACATTTCATAAAGGAAAAGATAGAAAATGGGTCGGTCAAACAGGCCTATATCCCCACAAGTTCACAAATTGCTGATATTCTAACTAAAGCTCTTCCTAGAAGCATTTTTGATGGATTGAAATCCAAGCTAAGTATGATGAACATTCATAACCCAGCTTGAGGGGGAGTGCAGAAATCTGATTCTCCTACATTAGTGTAGATCTGATTCTCCTACATTAGTGCAGCTTGATTTCCTAATTTATTTTGGGAATATTTCTCATTTACTCTTTTGATTTAGTCAACTATTTTGATTCTCAAGTTTTTAGGGATTTGTTTCTATTTAGAATAGAATAATTCTTCTTCCTTTTATTATTTTTTGTTTTCTGTTTCATGCAAGTTGTTTCCTAATTAGGAACTTAACTGTTCCTATTTATTTAGATGTACTCCTTCATTGTAGATAGAATAAGAAGAAATAAGGACAATTATTATTTAAGTTTTCTACATTAACAAATATATTTATATGATATCAATGTTGAATCATATTCAGACTTTGCATAATGTGAGTCTTAACATGTATTCCTTTGCATGAGTAACCAAACCTGTAATTTCCCCAAGGAAGTACGGTTAACCAATCCAGATAGTTACGAGTTACATTAAATTCACTCGAACTGGCCTCTAACAGCTGTAGTTTTGTTAGCTCCTCTTCTATAACTTGCAAAACATGAGGTGGGCATTTCTCTCTATTTGGTTCAAGTCTTTCCCTAAACTTTGCTGCAATAAAAGAACAGAAAAGTATAGCAAAGGTCACACGGATTACTCAAAAAAAAAAACTAAAAATAAACAACTCAACTAGTTCTTTCATCCATCTGAAAACTGATGTGGTTAACCTATTAGGAGGACCCATGGATACATCAACACAGCAAAAGCAAGCACCCAAAAAGGTAAATTTAACTATACTGGGTATAACCCATGAGATTAATAGCAAGCATAATTGCATCAACTGCAGTCTATAGTGTGAGAAGTAGTGAAATTTTAGACTTCCAAATACCCCCTTATGACACAAACTGGTCTCAACAAGCAAGTCAAAAACAGATTTATGGACATAATTTATAATTTTCTACAAGAGCTTGCCTACAAATTCTCTAACATATCTTCAACAACAAATTAGGGTCTGAGGAGCATCCATGCATGCAAATCACCATTGTGCAAAAGAGACAGAAGGAGAAGAAGGAGAAGCAAGGGAGTAAATACTATCTTCTACTTCAGCCAAATATGACATAAAACAGAACTAACCTGAAAGTGCAGTTTTGTCATCTGTTTCCAACCCAAGTTCCTGCACCAGAACAAATGAAATTCATTCTAATTTCTACAAAGAAGAAAAGTTGGAATAAAGAATAGAGACTTGAATTCACAGAAAATAAAAAGATTACATGGGGGCACATTTAACAATACTTTATAAAGATAAATTGGTAAAAGCGTTACCTCCAAAGAAATACATAAATAATAACATTACCACTAAAGAAATATATAAATAATAAAACAGTGGAATCAAATACCTTCTTTATCGCCTTAAGCTGCTCATTCAACAAGTATCGCCGTTGTTCACCACTTATCTTTTCCTCAATTGCTTTTGCAATTGATTCCTAAAAATAACCGCCAAATGATTTAGACCCACTCCAAATCAAACAACAATGAAAAAGTGTTAATTAATGTAGAGGTGCAATGAAATTTAATGGCATCAAGTACCTGAATCTTGCTGATTTCCATTTCCTTTTTCACTAATTCCAGTGTAAGTTGTAAACGCTTATGCACCTAATGAGAACAGTATAGCACGGTTTAAAGCGAGGAAGAAGATAACTACTCCAGTCTCCAAATGTATAAAAACAAACAAATAGGTGCTAATGCCAATTCCATAAGTTGTAAACAGCAACATCACATAATTCACATAATAGAAGTGTGAGATTTGTGATATCCCCAAATACAAAACAAACTAAACCAGAACTGGCACTCAAAGATTAGTAATCAACAGTAAAATATATCCAAGCCACTTACATCCAACTCTTCAAGAACTTGCTGGCATTGTAATTTGTTTGCACCTGATATTGCAGCTCCAAAATCTGCTAACCTTGGAAAATTGAAATCACCTATATGCTGCATATGTTGAGAAAGAAGGCCAAAAAAATGAAAAGATATTGCAATCAACTCATGGAAGCTAATTGATCAAAACAACTAGTACATTTTGATAGAAACATGATGTCCATATAACAATTTCTATTGCAAGCAATTGCCATGAAATATTGCTAGCTCATTGTAATATTAAATTTAATCATAGAATATTTGCTTAAGTATCTTGAAAAATATATGATGACCATATAATGTGAAACTCAATGGAGGCTCCACCTATTTTTAGGGAATATTTTGGGCAAAGTACCAATACAAGGAGAAGTTAGGAGCTTTAGAAAACATAAAGAGAAGACACAAAGCAACATAAAGAAAGACAAATCAAAATTTCAGAAGAGAGAACACACCTGACTATACGTTTGAACATGATCCCTCCAAAGGGAACTAGTTTTCAAAACATCTCTTAGCGTTGATATAACCTCAAATGATGTTGCCTTTATGACATCATCATCCTTGTCATAAGGTTTTTCCTGCATTATAAAGACAACTCAGTGAATCAATAGATTAATATACTATTGATTGCATACTTGGAACCATCAATTGTATGTTGAAATTCGAACATAGAATTGTAGAAATGATAACATATAGACAACATATCGACAACATACCTTGAGATGATCAACTTTGACTGTAAGGGGATCTTCGCTGACCTATAAAGAAACCATGTTGTGTAAGTTCAGAAGGTTTTGCATTTAACAAAGATTCCAAGTATGTAGGACAGAGATAATTTTACACAAACACAAAATTCTCAAAGGCTAAAAAGATATGTTTCAGTATCATTCCCACACACCATCTCTGTTATTCGTAGCCGTCGGTGTCCAATAAGGATAACCTGGTCTCCTTGGATACTTGAGATCTGAAAATATCACATTATAGATACATGAATCAATGGACATGTTATATTGTTGCATATGTCCCTAACTGCCACTAAAATTATTGCATTAACGCTAATCAAGATACAGAAGGACCTTTTTTTACTAAAAGAATAGCAACAAAAATTGATACCTGGGCAAGGGTGCCAACTCCATGAAGACGATTAAACAACTCCTTTCCTTTAATATCATATACACTTTTCTCAGTTTCAGAACTAGGGCTGGACTCAGACCCTGGTTCATCTTTAAGAAGGAAAGCACCAGCATATGGAGCTTGCCTTTTTCGGCTTTCCTGTAAAGCTGCTAATAACTTAGGATCCTGCATGACAAAGCATCTTGGTAAAGAGAATCCATTGACCTGATATTATCACCACAGTTAAGTAGTAAAATGCAGAGCACAGTGAGGACATTTTTCTTGAGTTATAAAACCACAATTTTGCTCTGATAAATCTAATCTTTTAAATAGTTCCACTTCAAGGTTCAAGTCATATTAACTCAGCAACGCCATGGATACATATTGGACGAGATAAGATAAAATGGATAACAATTGCTCCAACAAGGGTTTAACTTCACATTTCAATTGTATCATTAAACACATAATGCGCAATATAACCAACCTAAGTTGTATCATGCCAGGCTATAATCTGCAACTCCGTAAGACACCTTACAGTTCAACAATGTAGTTCATACTTTATAGACTATCACTACCCTAAGAAAAAAGAAACATGGGGAGAATTTCATACTCCATGTAAGTGGACAGCACACCATACCTTGACATAAATTGGCATGTAGAAACCTGGGAAAAGAGGTCTATGTGGCAATGGTAACGCCAAAACCTGAAAACAAATAAGATAAAGAATTCATTAAACAAATGTGGGAAAGAACAAGTGCAGAGCTTTATTTGAAAAACGCAGTTCATAATTTCAACAAATATCCTCAAGTAAAAAAATCTATAATTTAAGGGAAAATAAAGTAGTAAAACATAAGGATTTGAAGATTCACTAATTTACTCTCATTTCATCAACTCAAACCAATGCTCATTATACATGTTTTATTTATGTCCAAGAAAAGAATTTCACCATTAAATGTTTTGAAAAGAACCAACTTTACATAACCAGTAGCCTGGAACAGCAAACAACAATAAACATTGAGCAAACTTCAACAATTTTAAATAGCAACAAATATCATAAAAACCAGTTTAAAAAAAAAAAAAAGCCATCTTTTTGTCCTCTCTTTTCCTTCAACTAAACAAACTCCCACCGCAAAAAGATTCATAATTTCCAAAACTAACCGTCAAATAATCCTCCGGCCTGGGGTAAGTCGGGACGATCGCCGACGATGCTTTCAAGTCAGACCCATTGGATTCGGACTCCGCCCCCTTGACCTCGACCTCAACCACTGATTGGGACCCGGACCCATCACTGGAATCAGAACAGAAGTAAGCCCTGAAGAGCGAATTCGTAGGGCTCCTCCTAGTCAACCCAGTCAGTCGACCCAATGCATTGAAAACCGAATTGGAGTCGGGCTTAACTCGGAGGCTCGGAGTTGCCGCGGTGAGGCAGTGGACACGAGAAGAGGATAGGAGTTTCAGCATTGGAGGGGATTTCGAAGTTGTGGAGGGACAGAAAAGGAAACCTATGTGGCGGCGGTTGGTTAAAATGGTAGCAGGAGATGCGCCAGGGTAAGTCGGCGTTTTGGGGAGGTTGGAGGTGGAGCTAGTAAAGCCCTTCATAAACCCTTGGATTTTGAGATGAGTTGACGGTTTTGACATTCCTCGGGACATTTTAAGTACGAATATGTCCCAACTCCAACAAAAGTAACTTTTTTTTTACTGTTTTAGATTTGGTAAGAAACTAGGCTACTTGTTCGGCGTCATTTGCTTCATTTACATTGCTTCAAGGGGAAGGGTAAATTAGAAACATAACTTTTGCTTCATTTACATCTTCACTTGCTTCATTCCCCTCCGATGCTGAAACTTCTATGCCTCAACACAGCAACTCCCAACCTCCGAGTCAAGCCCGACTCTAATTTGGCCTTCCATTCGTTGGGTCGACTTACCGGCTTGACTCGGAGGAGCCCTACGAATTCGTTCTTCAGGGCTTGCTTCTGTTCTGATTCCAGCGATGAGTCCGGGTCGGTTTCCAGCTCCCAACCAGTAGTTAAGGGGGAGGTAAAGGGAGCCGAGTCTGAGGCCAATGGGTCTGACTCAAAAGCATCATCAGCGATCATGCCAACTTGTCCCAAGCCAGAGTATTATTTGACGGTTAGTTTCGGAAATTATGAATCTTTTTGAGGTAGGAGTTTGTTTAGTTGGTGAGAAATTAAGGAAAAGAGAGGAAAGAAATTTCTTTTTATAAATTTTTTTTTATGATATTTGTAGCCATTTACAATTGTTAAAGTTTGTTCAATGTTTATTGGTGTTTGTTGTTCCAGGCTACTGGTTATGTAAAGTTAGTTCTTTTACATAACATTTCTGATGAAATTCTTTTGTTGAACATAAATAAACATGTATAATGAGATTCCCCTGCTTGGGTTGATTGAATGAGAGTAAATTAGTGAATTTGCAAATCCTTTTTTTTTTTACTAGGGACTTTATTTTCCCTTAAAGATAGTCAAACAAATTTTATACATGTTTAGTTGAGTGTTTTTGTTGAAATTATGAACTGCATTTCCAAATAAAGCTTGTATCTGTTCTCTCCCACATTTGTTTAACGAATTCTTTGTCTTAATTGTTTGCAGGTTTCGGTGTTACCTTTGCCACGTAGACCTCTTTTCGCAGAATTCTACATGCCAATTCATGTCAAGGTATGGCATGCTGTCCAATTACATGGAGTATGAAATTTTCCCTAGTTTCTTTTTTTTTTTTTTTTTTCTTAGGATAGTGTATCCTACCTTCTTGAACTTTCAGGTGTCTTATTGTTTATAGCTTAGAATGATACAACTTAAGTTGGTTATGTACACACACTAAATGATGTTGATGAAAATGTGAACTTAAAACTCTTGTTGGAGCAATTTTTATCAATTTGATTGTAGATTATGAATCCAAAGAGTAGCCATAAACGTTAATACATGTGCTTCATCTCCACATTTCATTTCTTCTCTACTTTCTGAATTTTTTCTGTGCTCACTGCATTCAGCCTCATCTCTCTCTGATGCATTCAAAGCCCAACTTTTTCCATGGGAAATTTAGACTTGGGAATATTTACACTGGAAACAAGCATGCCCTTAGGCTATTCTCTTCAGACAATGCTCCGTCACCAATCGTTACAGAACTCATATCAAAACAACAATGGAAAAGTCTTAAAACTCATCACAAAAACGCAAGCCCCATCACACTTCTTCAACAACTGCTTGATTCTAAGACTGACCCAGACCTCACTCTAAGGTACCTTAAAGAACCCAGCTTTAAGGGTACTCTTTTTTTTGTTTCTTTCTTTTCTATGTGTGCTAATTTGATTGTTGTTGATAACTTGTAGGTACTTTAAATGGTCAGAGAAAGAGTTTAATCTCTCCTATTCAGTAGAACTCAGTTGTAAGCTGTTACATTCACTTGCAAATGCTAAAAGGTATCCAAAAATGAGATCTTTCTTGCATGGTTTTGTGAAGAATGAGAACTCCATTTCAGTTTCTTCTGTTTTTCATGCTATCTCGGTATCTGGTGATAGCTTTTGTGCTAATTCAATAATTGTTGATATGTTGGTATTGGCTTATGTGGAGAATATGAAAACCCATTTAGGATTTGAGGCTTTTAAGAGAGCTGGTGACTATGGGTTTAAGTTATCAGTGATATCTTGTAATCCTCTGTTGAGTGCTTTGATGAAGGATGGTAAGATTGGGGATGTGGAGTATGTGTATGAAGAGATGATGAGAAGGAGGATTGAGGTTAATGTGATTAGTTTTAATACTGTGATTAATGGGTTGTGTAAAGTTGGAAAATTGAATAAGGCAAGTGATGTTATTCAGGACATGAAAGCATGGGGCGTTTTGCCAAATGTAATTACCTATAATACTCTTATTAGTGGTTATTGCAAGAAAGGTAGAATTGGTAAAATGTACAAAGCAGATGCTATTTTGAAGGAAATGTTTGCAATTGAAGTTAGACCTAATGAAATTACTTTCAATATATTAATTGATGGTTTTTGTAAGGATGAAAATTTATCGGCTGCTATGAAGGTGTTTGAGGAAATGCAAACACAGGGATTGAAACCTAATGTGGTTACATATAACTCTTTAATTAACGGATTGTGTTTGGAAGGGAGGCTTGATGAGGCTGTTGGTTTGCAGGATGAAATGGTAGGATTAGGTTTGAAGCCAAATGTTGTTACTTATAATGCCCTTATAAATGGGTTTTGTAAAAAGGGTAAGATGAAGGAAGCTACTGACTTGTTTAATGATGTTGTTAAAAATGGAATTTCTCCCACCATTATAACATATAATACCATGATAGATGCCTATTGTAAGGATGGAAGGATGGAAGATGCGTTTGCTCTGCGTGAAGCTATGGTGGATAGAGGTACTTTCCCTAATGTTACAACTTATAACAGCTTAATTGCTGGTTTGTGTAGAGAGGGAAACATTACAGTTGTTAGAAATCTCATTAATGAAATGCTAAATAAAGCTTTGAAAGCTGATGTTGTAACATATAATATACTGGTAGATGCATTGTGCAAGGAAGGAGAATCAAGAAAGGCAGCAAGACTCTTGGATGAGATGGTTAAGATAGGTTTGAGACCAAATCATGTGACATATAATACTTTGATGGATGGCTATTGCAGGGAGGGAAACCTCAGAGCAGCATTGAATGTTAGAACACAAATGGAGAAAGAAGGGAGACGAGCAAACGTTGTGACATACAATGTGCTGATAAAGGGTTTGTGTAAGAAGGGCAAACTAGAAGATGCAAATGGACTTCTTAATGAGATGTTAGAGAAGGGTTTGATCCCAAATCGAAGAACTTATGAGATAGTTAAGGAGGAAATGGTGGAGAAAGGCTTTGTTCCAGACATTGAAGGGCACCTATATAGCATCTCAGCCAGCTGATAACCTTTCAAAAGAAAAACTTATTTGTTATTACTATGGCCATTATTTTATTGGCTTGTGGATGACTTAACCTGAGAGAATCTTTAGTGGCTTATCATGTTAATATTTATAACTGTAATATGAACCAGAGCAAGTAACTCCTTTAAAGAAGCTTCTCAAGAATTCCATATGATTTTTTTTTTTTTTGGGAAAAGAATGCATGTATGAGCCATAAGCCTTACTTATAATTTCTTGCTTCTCAAGTTATACAAAACTGGTAGGTATCCAGTATCTTGTCAAATGCAGCTATCCAATTAAGGCTAATGCTCTTTTTCAAACTTAACAATGCATTCTGTATTGGTAATATTTTGGTACTTTTTTGGTTGTCAAGACGGACAATTTGATCACATTGGGAAATAGCATATTCATGAAAGTTATCAATGATATGTAAGATTTTCTTTTTTAATTTTAATAATCACAATTAGAATGCTACATTCAGAGCATTTGACCAGTGCCTCCATTCCAAGCCTATATATATACTCAAAAGTCTTGCAGTCGTTTCTACCATACCAACTTATTAGCAGCAATAAATGATATTTCAGAAACAGAAAGGGAAACAGAAAAGGTTAGAAAGATGGAAATGGAACACCGAAACTTTTTAAGTACCAAAATAATAACGATAAAAATAAAATATTTTTAACTCCACATACGAGATTAATAAAATAATAAATATTTTTTAGTATATATTTAAAAATAAAAAAATTAATTTAAAAAAAATGTGTTACCTTTTTAATCCGCTTGTCAAATTAAAAAATTTTGCATAATGTCTCAAATGATTTTTCAATATATAATAATAAAATAATAATAAAAAACAGAGATTTTGAGCTTCAAATTAGATGTTACAGTGGTCCAGAAAATGGACCCAAGTGTTGGGCTAGCCCATGATAAATGATTGGCTTCCAAAAAATCTTGGTTAATTCTTTCTTGACTACTGATTTACCTTTCAGTGCACCTGGCAACAACAGATTCCCTTCCCTCTTCCTTAAGCTTTTAAACTTTAACAAAAGAAAAAGAAAATCAAGAATCTGTCTGATCACATCGTCTCCTCGGCTTGAATCCCAAATTAGGGTTAACAAATTAGGACTTTTTAAGGTTTAGGGCTTTCATTTTTCCAAACAGTTGCCAATGGATTTCCAGAGGAAAAGAGTTCAGCTTTTGCTCTTCACCGCTGGAATCATCCTTCTTAGTATCACAGGTAAGAAACTACCCCTAATACGTCCTTGTTTTGCGTTCAAGTTTCATTTTTCTTTAATTTCTTCCTATATTCATGAAATTATTGCCATATATAGTGCAATTGAAACGAAAACTTTAATTGCTTAATTGATTAGATTTGTCTGTTGATATTTAAAGTTTGACTTTATTGCAAGTTTCCTTTTTGACTTTGCGGCGACTAAGTTTCAGATTCTTTGATTCAAGTTATGTTATTTTCCTCTTGTTTGTTAACTTGTATGACTAATTTGGTAGTTCTCTAAACTGTGTAATGACCCTTCTTTCTTCTTCGGGTTTCATGTATGTTTGAGGTTTATACTAAGATTACGTCATTATCAGCCTTTCCATTCTTTTGTATGCATTTTTTGCTCAGTTCCTAGTATAAGTTTATGACTGTTTAGCTTTTTTTTTTTTATTTTGTAGCTGAAAAATGCAGGCAACTGGTTGGGGAGGAGGCATCATCCCAAAGTGGGCAATTTACATTATTAAATTGCTTTGATATGGGCTCGGGTTCCGCAGCTTGTGCAGTGAAGGAGGGTGTGAAGCTTTATTTCTACAACATTAGAGCTGCTCATGTTGAGAGAGCAAGGAATCTCGCAATTGAAAAGGCAATAGAGGATGCAGTGTCGCAAGGCATGTCTGCTAAAGATGTAGCTAAACAAGCTCAAATAGAAGGGAAAAAGGCGGCGAAATTGGCAACACGGCAAGCCAAGCGCATTATAGGTCCTATCATTTCCTCTGGATGGGACTTTTTTGAAGCCATATACTATGGTGGTACTATCACAGAAGGGTTTCTTAGGGGTACAGGAACATTGTTTGGCGCCTATGCTGGGGGTTTTGTTGGTGAGCAAAGGCTGGGGAGGGTTGGTTATCTTGCGGGAAGTCATTTGGGGAGTTGGGTTGGAGGTAGGATTGGACTGATGGTTTATGATGTGGTTAATGGAGTGCATTACTTGCTTCAATTTGTTCAAATGGAAGAAAGTGAAAATTATGAGGCGCCAGTTTATGAAAAATCAGAAGTTTCCGAGGATTCCTATGCATATGAAAATTCAGATTCATATGAATCTCCACCTGATGAGAGCTCTGAATCACAAGAAAGTTATACTTTCTGGTGAAAACAGTGAGTTCATGTTGTTGTTATTTTTAATTCAGATGAATTTATTTACTAAATTCACATGTATAGATGTATCAATATCAATAGCGTTGTCACAATCATGTTTTTTTGTTATCAATAGTGTTATCATATGAATATAATGGTGTTGCTATCTTCAAAATCATATTATTTTGTTTTGACAAGATCACTAGTTAGTAATTCTTGAATCATTTGAAATCTTGTTCTTTTCTTACAATCTGAGTTACACAGTTACCTGATCTCGATCTGGCTTTGAGAAAATGATGAAGTCTGTTATTAGAGATCCATGCTTTAATGGTTAATGCATTGCTTAAACAGATATTTTAGCCTGCATACATGAATCAGAAGTTCCTGGATGAAAGGTCAGTTAGAGGAATACACTGTTGCTCTCATTTAGCCATTTGTAAAATGTAGAGTAATACACTGTAGTTGACTCTGGGCTCCTCTCGCATGAGATTTGGCTTAAACCTTGATTGAAGTAACTGACCTGCAGTTCCACCCTCCCTCGTCTGATAGTAGCTAACAATGGTAAAGGCTTAAAAGGGTTTTTTTTTTTTTTTTTTCCTGATTGATTATACCAATACATACCGGCAAATTTAAATCGTATAAAAATTTCTATGGATATAATTCGTTCATGCCATTTCTAAAGATAAACTTAGTTTGAGGCACCAAGAGCAACTGCTTTTCATCACAAGCATATGTTGGAAGACACCAACTGCTTTTCATCTCGCTTTCTTGTTGTTTTTCCACATTCCTGCCATAATCGTAATTGCCAAAGAGTGGTGCTATTTGCATCCTACGTTATTCTCTTCACACCTCCTGCTATTAACACCCATTATTTTTTTCTCCTCACTCCAAACCAAAACACAAGTTTATTAAAAAAATCCAAACACCTCCTTCTCTCCTCACACACCTCTTCAACCAAAACCCTAAAACCTTTAAGGATTAAACTCCAAATCAAGCCCTATTTGATGTTAAATAGCTTAGAATTAAAAGTAAATTGTTGTTTTGTTTTTGTATTTTCGTTTGATTTTGTATTTAATTTCATAAGATTTAGGATTTTAAGTTTTAGATGTGATTTGGGGTGCAATTAAACATTCTGTAAATGAATTTTTAGAAATTATCAAAATTTTTCAAAAGTGGATGTTCAAAAACTTTTTTAATGTACCGAAAATTTATTTCTAAAATCCTTTAAAAGTTTTTGGACATTCATTTTCGGAATTTTTTAAAAATTTTTGAAAAGAAATTTTTAGTATACAATAACTTAGCACCGTGACCTTATTATGTCATTAGTAGATTGGCAACTCTACTAATAGTAATGTCTAATCTTTTGACCATTAAGTACTATCCGTTCAATAATGTTTATAATATTTTTGTAATTCTAATAAATGTGGATTTGAAAAAAATCGCTAAATGTGAAGAGATACTTGTGTAAGTTGGCCGTTGCACCATGTGTATTTGAGTGTGACTGTCTCATCGCACATGGTACAATATTCACTTGCATGAACGTTTTTTTATAATTAAAGATCTTTTTTAGATTCATGTTTGTTAGAATTAGAAAAGTGTTGCAAACATTATTGAATAGACAATACATCAAAAAAATTAGAGGTTTTATTATTGGATTTAAATAGTTGATACGTCTAAAAAATTATTAGAGATCCATTTAAAAATTACAGCAAAGGACATTCGATATTCTCATGCCAAATATTGATCAAAAGATTATAACAAAAAAACTTACGTAAAAAATTATTTTCAAATATATATTTTTAGATAATTGTAATACTTTTTGAAAATATATTTTCAATACAATGAAAAAGTTTTCAAAAATGAATTTTTGGTACATTAAAAAAATTTTCGAAAATAAATTTTCAATAATTTATTAAGAAAGAGTGTAAAGAACAAAAAAATAATTAATTAATAAATATTTAAGTAATTTTTTTAGAACTTAATTTTTTGAGGTATATTGAAAGCTTTTTTTAATGCAAATAGCACCACTCATTGCCAAATACCAAATTAAGATAAAAAGGAGTTGCTTTTATGGGCCTCGTGGTGAAAATGCCTTGGCTTTGGATTTGATTTTGGTCCATCCATCAGCCATGGACATGAAAAATCTTGGCATTAAATGTATAACGCCTCGTGCTGTCTAGGTGTTGGATTGGGACAGAGAACTCAAATATTATGAGCTTAAAACTTTAAGGATCTAAAGTTTTTTTAGTATAAAAAGTAGATTTAAAATATGAATATGAATTATACATATAAACCATTATTCGAGTCAAAACTGCAACATAAATGATTAAAAGGGAAAAAAAAGGGGAAAAATCAAACCAAAATCTTAAAGAGAAGTAAGTGATGTAGGGTGGGGCAGAAGGCCGACCATATTATTGAGATTTTTGAAGGCAAAGCAGCAGCCCAAATGGCAGTTACATGGCAAGAAAGGGTAATGTTTGCATGGAGCAGAGTGAAGAGGAGGTCTAATCAAGAAAAAAGCCCATTCTAAATGAGTCTAGTGACGTTACACTCCCATGACCCAAGTGGCTACAGGTTGTTTGACTTTAATTCAATGCTTGGCTCCACCACTCATTTTTTCTGTTCCCTTTCAAATTCAAGAATTTTTTTATGTTGTGCAATTGGCTCAATAATTAATACATATATCTTGTTTTTGAGATTTCTGTTGTGGAAAAACCCAAATAATTTATTGTAAAGTTCTTGTGGAATCTCCAACATTAAATTTTTTTTTATTTTTTTATCATTTAGGGGTAACCAAATAAAACTGATTATTTTAAATCTTTAATCCCAAATTACTTTTGGCAAAAAAAAAAAACTCCCAAATTGTTCAATTTAATTCTAAAAGAAAAGAAAAATTACCTCTTACTATCATATAACCAACAATTAACATTGACTTACCTAAAAAAAATTAACATTAGCTATAATGATATTCAAAATTTAAATCTTACTTTTATTTTGCTTCAAATATTTAGCACTTGCATGCATATAATATATATATATATATATATATATACACACATATATATATTTCTACATAAAATTTCGAAGGCAAATAGGTTGCTTCAATCTGATCAAGACAATGTACACCTAAAAAATCTTTATAATTGCTGCTTTCCATATTAGTACCATGGAAACACCAACAAAATTTAAACTTATTCAAAAAAAATTTAGAAGTAAGGAAAATTACTCAATCTTCAAGAGTAAGGCAAGCCACCAATCATAAGTGAGATTTATACATGTTTTGGGATTTTTTGAATTTATAATTTATCCATTAACAAAAGATTGTGAGAGTTCAAATTTAAGTATTTTGTATTTAAATCTTAATTTTTAATCATTTACGCAAATTTTTATTCACAACCAAAGCAAGCTCAAGCTATTGAATCAACCATAATTGGAAACATCTGCACTATATGTAAAGCAATACAAAAAAGATAAATTATTTTTTGAAGTTGGAGTGTCAACCAACCCTAGCTACCTGCCTTTTGAAAAGCTAGGCGGCACCATGAAAAAAGTATCGCAACTTCGACGTCGAGTAGTCGCGCTTGCTTGCTAAACCTATTGTTGGGATTAGAAGTGGCCAAATTGGCATAATTGACAATTAATATTCCAATTTCAATGCCTTGAGAAAAATATTGTTTAATATGATAATCTTAAAGAGCCCCATAAAGCATTCATTTAGAAAAATCCATCTTTTAGTATAATCAATAATTTAGGGGGACATAAATATTCATTTATGTATTTTTCAAGCATTAACCATGATTACCTTTTATGTGAGATGGTGAATAATCATGGTGAATTAAAATTTTCATTGATCTCCTCTCTTTACTCCAATGTGAAATACATCGTGACTTTGTTACACTAGCATTATAATTTTACAGAGTTGACAATTTTTAGGTTTTAACTTGGGAAGAGAGTCCTATTCCTACAAACAATTTACATTGTATCATCACATAAAATGTCAAAAAAAAAATTATAATTAAAAGGACTTTTAAAATGAAACTTGGTCATGGCACCATCAACAAAGGAGAAAACTCCTAAGCCAAAAGGAGGAGTGCAATGATCGGGTATAGCATGCGCTGACTTTAAGACAACAAATTGATGATCTCTAAATATTCACCACTGAATACAAAAGAAAAAGGGCATTACCAGAATAATATAAAATTCAAACAAGGAAACACTACTCATTGGCAAAAGCTAGGGTTGAATTTTTAAATTGGAAAGATAGCTTTCATAACATGGCATTGAAATGTCAGCATACTGAGCTTCAAAAGTGGCCATCCAATTTTTATAGGGGTATCTTGTCTTTATATAGTTGAACTACAACAAGGAAGTGAGAGTGATAGGGAAAATTATGGCGTCAAAAACAAAATTATCTCTGTTTTAAGGCAAAAGTTCGGTTACACTCAAATATTTGATTCAATTCGGTAATATATGATTTTTTTTTTTTAAGACAGAGCTAAAATATGGTAAAGGCTTATTCGCAATTTGTGATCAATAATTAAAGAAAAAAAATCTTGATCACTGTTGCGTGTTTCTATAAAAAAAAAAAAAAAATCCTTCATTGTTCACATCGCCAAAAAACAAAGATCTAGACCTAATTATTTTGTTTTTCCGTAGAAGCAAAGATCATGTGATGCGGTGATGAGAGTTGATTTGCTCTTGAAAAGAAATTTTTTACTTATAAGAACAAAATTTTACAAAACTAGAGACCAAGTTTGGACCATGATCAATTGCCATTGCAGAATGATTATAAGGAGAATAGGGTGTGTTATGGTTAATCAGAGAAAGATATCAAAGCATATTATAATCAATTATATTCCCCCAAAATGATTGGACAATGATATTAATTGGAGAATCCTAATTAAGGGTACAAAAACTGATTGTTTCCATTATGGAAATTTTCAACAAGGTTAATACTATTAGGCATGCTCGGTTCCTAATTAGCGGATGTACAAAAAAAAGATTTTAATATTTTTCACTACAACTTGTAGTTCTATACATATCTTGAATCCGTGATATACATAAAAAAAGGGGGGGGGGGGGGGCTTTTTATATGTTTATATAAAGAAAAAGAAAAGATTAACCCACAAACCATCTAGTTAATTTCATGCAAATTGAACAATTATTAATGAATCAATCAAAAATAAGCATCACCAGGAACATGAAGCAATATTTCATGAGCAGAAGAGCACAGTTATTGAGTATTGACCCTAATCTATTATATCGAGTTAAACAAATTTTCCACTTAAATTATTAAAATAAAACTTGAAAATAAGTGACACAATTATTTAAGTGCAATATATATGGTCTGTAATGTGTCCATAAATCTGATATGTATCTCGTTCAAATTGTAATTATATCAAACAGTAAGAGCTATTCAATGTGAAATTTTAGAAGAGAATGATTTTAGTCACACTATTAATTCCACTTATAAAAGGAGAGTTTCAAGGCCAAATAAATTGGGATTATATATAGTTTAACAGGCCAAAGCAAATAATATAAAACAAAAACCGAACATGTCAACATTTGTCCGAAAGCAAAACAGAAGAATCAATCAGGTTGAATTTGGTGGACCCAAAGTTCTTGTCCTTCAATACATAAAATAGTAGGATAGGTTAAGCCAATTGGGGTTCATCTATATTTAATTGGCAACGCTAAGTGTGAACTGAGTGATGCTCATCATTTCGTCCCTCCTCAAATCAAAGAACAATTCCATCACTTTTGGCTATTGGTGAAAATGATTATTTCATTATCATTTGTTGGTTCTTACAAATTATTCACAAAATATATGGTATATGCAGTGTGAAACCTCAAGTTGTGAGAATCCATAGTGTGAAAGCATAGAGAGGTAAGGAATCTAGGGGTTGAAGATTAGAGTTGAAAATTGGAATGGTTTGAAAAATGTTGTGAAAGTTGAATTATTTGGTTATTTAATATATGTGTATACATATATACATACATATATATATATATTTAAGAATAAAATATCTATCAATTAATATTATGAGCTTAGGGCTAAAAGTTGAAAAACTTCTTGAAATGTTAAAATATTTTTGTTTACATATTAATAATATTAAAATTTATATTCAATATGTAAGATATTATTTATTTTAATTTAAAAATTTTATGATTTTATTTCATAAAAAATATCTCATAAATATAAGTTCAAATTTCTCTCTCTCTCTCTCTCTCTCTCTATATATATATATATATATATATATATATATATTATAATGGATGCTCACTTTATTATTTTGTGAGATTAATTGAGTCCTTTCATTATTAATCAAGGGCTGACAGAACTAGGAGCTGATAAAGCTCCAAGTTATATATTGATTTTAAAAATTTTTTATCTAGACGCTCTTAATTGCTATTAAATTAAATAAATATTTTCATACACACCATTAATCCTTCTTCATTAATAACATTAAAAAAAATCTAAAACTAATTGCAAATTAAGCATTCCACGTTGTCCATCTAATAAGTCCTGCATGTGCGTTAAAAATAAAATGGCATCATTCTGTCTACATGTTAAAGCAGCAAGTGCTGATCACTGTGCTCTCCAAAACGTAGAAAGAAATACCAGAGAATTAAACTTTGTTGGGGATTGAGTTTTGCTTTGAAACCTACTTTTTTCTTTTTTTTTTCTTTTTTTTTTTATGTTATAGGGAAACCCTGTTTTGTTTTGAATTTTGTCTCACACGAGTTTGAGTTCTTGTTTATCAAGACTCCCTTGGCCCTGAACTCCACTACTTTTGGGATATATTCATATTATAATAAGGATATATATATATATATATATATAATTATGCCTTAGCATTGAGGGTTTTATCACAAGTTTGAAAAGAAATTCATGGTCCGTGCATGCCATGGGAACTCCCATTTACCATAAACCAGTCAAGCTATAATCAACGCCTGATTCCTCCATTGAAGTAATTAAGCCTGCTATGAATTCAAAACCTTTTACATTCCTTTTAGTGGCCTAGATTTTAAGGTGACACGTCTCTAGCTTGGGATAAAAAACTTGACCCTGGATGAAGAAATTTAGGCTATAGATTATGAAATTCAGCCAAATCTTTGTTATTAATTATTACAAGGATCTGTTACTTACCATTCTAGAAATATATATATATATATATATATATATGTAAAGATTGCCTGATCTGCTAAGAACATTGAAGACATCGAATACCTAGCTGCCCAAATTATTTTTTGATAGAATGTACATAGCTTTCTGCATTGGGACAAAGAAAACCTACTAAACGTTCCAAGAAAAGGTCAACTAACAATTGATATTACAAATAACAAAAGCTATCCTAAGCACCTCTCTAGTCTCTACTAATAATAATGAAAAGTAACAAGGCCAACCCTCCACATAGCTCCGCAGTTGGTGTGGTCCCCGCAGTTGCCCATAAATAATGACTCGATTGGTGGTTTGAGATTGTCTCTTTCATTTTGTTTCTATCCATTTCCTGGAGAAGTCTTTGTTAATTTTCCTTGAAAATTTGAGTCTTCCCATAACCTCATAGTGTCGACATGGTTTGCGAGAAAGATCCCTTGGTACAAGAAGTCTGTGAGTTGTATGAGAAAATCTCAAGCCTTGAGAATCTCAAACCTTCCAAGGATGTCAACATGCTCTTCACACAACTTGTTGTCACATGCATGCCACCAAGCCCGATTGATGTTACCAAGCTTTGCAAAAGAATTCAAGAAATCAGGTCTAAGTTAATTCGACTATGTGGAGAAGCTGAGGGACTCTTGGAGAGCCATTTCTCAACCATCTTAGGATCCTATGAAAACCCTCTTGACCATCTCAACATTTTCCCCTACTATTCTAACTATCTTAAGCTTAGCCAACTTGAATTCGATATTCTTAGTAAACACTGCTCAAATTATGTCCCTAGCAAAGTTGCCTTTGTGGGTTCTGGTCCCCTTCCCCTCACCTCAATTGTGTTGGCTTCTTTCCATCTTACCACCACCTCTTTCCATAACTATGATATTGACCCTTCAGCCAATACCAAGGCTCTTCAATTAGTTTCATCCGACCCTGACTTTTCTGAACGTATGTTCTTTCACACCACAGACATAATGGATGTTACGAATGCTTTGAAAGACTATGACGTTGTTTTCTTGGCGGCTCTTGTGGGGATGGACAAGGATGCGAAAGTTCGAGTCATTGATCATTTGGCAAAGTACATGGCCCCTGGTGCTCTTTTGATGCTGAGGAGTGCGCATGGTGCTAGGGCTTTCCTTTATCCAGTTGTTGAACCTTGTGATCTACGAGGATTCGAGGTCCTCTCCATATTCCATCCTACTGATGAAGTTATTAATTCTGTGGTCCTTGCACGTAAATTTCCAATGACTAAACACTCTGTTGAGCACCGTCATGGCCCAACAAAACTTCCCAACAAGTTTTTTGACATTGAAATGTTCAATCCCCTCAACCATGTGAACCTGATGGAGGAACTTGATATTGAGGAGCAACTCTCCTGATTGTCCCTTTAACTCTCACCACGTTGTTCTTCTATCAAGCTCAATAACACCCTAATTGGATCCTTAATTTGATTTGCTTTCGCTATGTTTCTACTTGTCTAACAAGTTATCTACTAGCAACATGTATCGGTTCTCTGTCCTTGCATCTTAAGTTTTAATAAATTAGGATATCCGGTTCAGCCTGATCAGGTTCAAGAAATGTTATCAAGATGAAGCATATTTCTTGATTGATTTTTTTGTGCTTTGATTGCCGTGATATACAGGATATGTACCTATAAGCATGCAAGCAAGTAATTTTGTTCACCTTCATCCTAAGGTCTTACTGTATCATTAATTTCTTCAGCTGAAAGGAAGAAAAATGTTTGTGAGAATTCTACTTATGCTTGCGTATATACAATGGTTACCTGCACAATTTATCTATTGACTTCAAAATTTTCTCACCTCAATCAGTTGAGGAAAAAACAGTGTCCAATTTACAATATTGTGATTGACAAGAATGCAATAAGATCTATTTCGCTGATGTCATTCATTCCCTTATCTTGTTTCTTCTGTTGCAATTTTTGTTTTTGATTTTTTTTTTTTTGAATAATGTTAGATAAAACTTATCTACTTGGATGGTGCATTTAGAGGAGTTAGGGAAGGCAGAGGAGAAAAAAGTTTAGTTTGAGAAGAAATTATTTTTGTTGGATTCTGTAGTCATGTTTTGTCAGTCATTGCAATTTGCACTCATAGATCGTCTGGTTGTGCAAGTAGGTATCATTATCAGTTAATGGCAATCGTGAGCCATTTGGAAAAACTCTAATTCCAAAGTCAATTTTGTTGTCCTTGATTGCTTCAAATATAGGTAAATGGTTGATACTTTTTCCTCCATGCCACAAACTCTATTTTGATGAGATATTTTCTTAAGTAAAATCTGACAGTGAAAGGATACCCGTGTGTTAAACTTTTACATCTTCCTATTGTGAATGATTATGATTTTTTGGTATGATAATGGGAAAATTTTCATATGTTATTTACGAGCATCTACCTTCTTGATGGTTTCGCTCCTTGGATCAAGTTAGGAGCAAAATCGGATTTCTAGCAAACATCGGTAAGAGCATAGGATTTTGTGTAATCTACTATAGGGATTGCAGGATCCTTGGAAGTGGTTTTTTGGCCAGTGAAATCCCCAGATGATCAAAACCTGTTCTAGTGCCTTAGCTAAATGGACATTTTACTAACTAGACAAATTTGTGTTAATTCTTTTTTATGCTTCCATTTTCTTATCTTATTTGCCTATGCCAACAACTATTGACTAGGACAAGATATCATTGTAGCATCTACTATTAGGGAATGAACAACAATCCTCAACTTCAAGTTTTCTTCATCTGGTTTCTTTCTCATGTCAGTTTTAAGTTTTAATGGGGGTTGGAGGGGTTTGCAAGGAAGGTCTGGTTCACTTTGCCACGTAATATCAAAAGCAGTTAGTAATTCTGAACTTGAAACTTAAAGTCAAGGCTTCAGAAGCCTAAAGTCTCATATTTGTGAACATATATGTAGATGTTTCAATTTTCAATGTCTGAAAAAGTCCAATGTTATGCCACACGACAGCATGAATTGATTTCTTTTTAGGTATGAAGCATTGCTCTATTCAGTTTCATTCAGTTCTGTGTGGCTCAGCATGATAAATAATAAGTTAACACGATATCTATCAGTATCTAATTAATTCATGACGAAAGTTGACGCTGATAGAAAACCAATATATAAGTAAAGCCTGTCTTTCAAGAAACTTCCACAGAAGAACGGAAAAGAAATCAATGTAAGAAGAAAAATCACATATATCTGACCATTTTAGACAGTTTCATGTTCTTTAAGACAATTATGTTGACATTTTCTACATTTTTTTTTTAAATTTCCATTTCCAATCGCATCTCATTGCATTGCCCAGAATGACACATTCTTCATCCAACAATATTTGTGTATGACCAGGATGCAAACACCTCATATTTAAGCAAAATAGCTGGAATTGCACAGCTAACACAAAAATTGAAAATCTCCGGTTCTTATGATAAACCAAATTAGAATCAAATCCATCCAACAAAAACAAAATCTTTGTTTTGCCCCGAAATATATCCAACTTTTTCTTATTTCTTAATGTATTTGAATTAAGACTTTGATTGTGAAGGTGGATTAATGTTTCTGAAGCCCTGAACTCTGCAAGAGATTCTATAACGTGAGTGCAAAGTTTTAGAAATGAGTTCAGCAAAGACGCCAATCCCACAAACTTGGTAAATAACAAACTTGGGCCACAGATAAAGATGGCTAATATCGTAAACCTGGTGAGTCCAGGATTAGTGGTGTGGGCATTACAGCACTGCTCTGGCCTGCATGAACTTCAAGTGGGCCTAATCTCAAGAGCCATCATTTTTCTTGTGTTGCACAAAGATGGCTAGTATCCTAAACCTGGTGAGTCCAGGACTGGTGGTGTGGAGTCTGTGGACATTGAGAACTGCTGCAGCGTACAAGAACTTCACCTCGGCCTAATCCCAATAGCTATCATTATTCTTACGTTGCTTTCAAGCTAGCTACCAAGTAAAATCACTCCCTCCCTTTACGTCTGTCTCTCTTTCTCTCCAGTCTCCACACTTATAGATGGAAATAACAGCCTTTGAGCAAAGAGACTAAGCTCTGACAGAGCATGTGTTTGATTGAATAGAGGCGTTCGTAATGAAAGAAGCTAAAATTATTCATGAAAAATCCAATGGCTTAACAAACAAAACAATAACCTGCGTTCCTTTTATGCAATACATTCACCAAAACCTTAGTTACAGTTTTATTTTGTTCCTTAACAAAGTCTGAATCAAATCCGTACCAAATCAAAGAAAGTAAAAGAAAAAAGAAAATCAAACCCTACACTATACTTTTGTTCGAAATTTAATTTCCTAAAATTATAGTTGCACACTTTTATATCTTAAATGGAAAGGGCACAGCAAATAAAAGTTCAGTAGAAAAGTTCCAAAATTAAGAGATGCTTTTAGTTAAAGGAGACGTGACTTCACAGTGTGCCTTACATATTACTAACTTACAAGACTACACACTTTAAAAGAACAATATTAAAGAAAAAGCTGATCCTTATGTTCAGAAACACTATCAGACAGGCTCCTTAAATGAAACTTTGAAAAGTAACGTGAAAACCGCCAGTCAGTAAAGTCATTAGGACCAAAACCAAATTCATCAAACAAGGGAAACACCAGAAACTAGTGCTATTTCCAACCTCTCATATTTGACTCACCACTGATTTATCAAGGACACTACAGGGTTTCAGCGTGCCACGCCTATACCAGTAAGGTTTCATATACAATGGCACCATTGGGGCTTAATGGGAGACGTTGTTAGCTCCTTTTTTGGACTTCTTTTTCCCTTTTTTGGAACAATTTCAGGAGCTCCTTGCATGCACCACTGAAATTATAAAATTACTGCTTGCACACAACAGGGACTTCAATGAATTAATATTGAAATATCATTACAATTCAATGCATTAAGAATTATCATGATTAATATGACCTTTTCATAAATCACACCTCAACAAGTGCCCTTAGACTAATTAATTACAACACAGTTTAATAACTTTAAAAAATTACACATGAATTAAAAATAACATCATTTACATATGTGTGGATTATTGCATACTAAAATACATTGTAACACTAAATAAAGTGACATGCGGAAAAGGATACCTTAAAAGTCCAGTTGTTTGGTCAAATATCATTAATTCCAGCTCCAACTTCAGTATCCAAGTACAAAGGTCCTCCAGTGTTCCCGGCAACGCCCTCCATAAGAGCAAATTTCATATCCTCAGATGGTTTCCAGTGCCGCTTCCTCTGGTTGATGAACCAATTGTTGATCTGCTTCGGGTCTAGTCCTGTTATTTCTGATAATTTCAACTTCTCCTCCTCCTGCAACACCACACACTTTTAGCAATAGTTTCCACAACATTCTTGTTCAGATCATTTCTTTAGGACTTAGTTAGGGGAAAAACAATACAAAAATATATACTTATTGGTAGTTATGGTTTCAATACAAGACTGAATTAGGGTTCAAGGACAATGCATTAGTCTTTCTACAGAAGGATTGATGCACTAACATCATTAGTCTCAGTGAACATAACCCTAGTGAGAGCAAACAAGTGATTACAAATGAAATGTTTAATTCTTTTGAAATGAATTAGCATACTGTTTCTCTTAACTCTCATTTCTCAAAACTCCATTGAGATTCATCTCATTCGGCATATAGCCATGCATGATGCAGGAGATTTGCAAGGAAAAAAAAAAGGAACAAAACAAAAGGCACCCAGTATTTAAGTTATATTGTAATTACCGTAGGATATGGCCATCTATAATGATTGTTCCACCAATCTAGCAGTATCAGCCTTGCATCTTTGGGTAGCTTACCCTTCTTTCTTTTCTTTAAGAATTCTTTTCTCAAACTGCTCAGATAGCCACTGTATTTGCGCATGAGCACTCCTTTGATGTCCTGGCTTGGATGGGCACCAGGAAAATCTTGACTTTCAGAAGCTTCCACCTCCCCACCACTAAACTCTTCCTCTGAAGTCCCAGCAGCCTCATCTGAAAAGAAAAGCATATAAGATATAATTGTCTTGCACATGAAGGACATCTACTAGGATATAAGTCAGTCCACAAAATATCTATAAAATGACATCCCTGGCATTGAATTTCAAAACCCGGTAAAATGACTACTGCATTTAATCATAAGTGACCCTCAATTGGGGCTTATACCAAACAAGTTAATAGGTTACAAGTTTATTTTCTCAAACTAATAGTTGCATGGTCCAACATGATGGAGCAGCAAAAATGTGATTAGATTAGATATTTCCTTCTTTAATGCTACATGTATTAACCAAAGCGTTTTATAGTTAAGTGAAATTCATCATGAACAAACCAATTTGCAGAAACAAAGAAAAGCAATTAATTAATCGTAGACAGTAAACTGAAAATACAAGCATTCTAGTCTATCATGCAACATTTTGCTGGGAAAAAAGCCAGCAGTATCATGGACACTGGAATAGAAGCAAGAAAAAGAATGTTTTGCTTAAAACACGATTTACCCCATGAGAAATCTTCACCACATATACATTCCAAGATCCATTTCTATTTCTTTCTTTCTTTTTTTAATTTCAAAAAAAGAAAAAAAAAAGAAAAGCAAAGCAAAGCAAAAATGGACAGAGAACTAATTTAAGTGAAGATCCATTACCTCCATCCATCTTGTAAGATGTTGCTTTTGTTCAATAGACCAAATTTAAGTTTCAAATTACATGTTTAGTACAATGAATTACATACTACTATCTCACATATATTATGAGACAATATTGCTGACCAGGGCACAGTGGGTGATGTAAGGGCAGTAACACATTCCAAACAATGTATACACTGATCATTTATATCTTAAAGCAGCAATTTTCTGGGCTGTCCCTATTTTATTTAAAAATTCAAGGGAATCTGTAATTTTATACACCAAGGCTCCTCACTTGGTGAATGATGAATTAAAATTTATATAAATTAAGGACTATTTTCAATATGAAAAACTAGTTTGTTACATAACAATATAATGAGATGTTGAGCTACAAACTCAATTACAAGTGATGCACCAATTTAAGTAAACCAACAACTTACATGAGATGTTGAGAAAAAACTGAGGAAAAATTTTAGTCTGAGGGGATATAGTGATGCACTAATTTCGGTAAACTACCAACATGTCAGTGTCAGAAGATAAATAAGTACCAATAAATTATTATATTCAAAAGTGAATTACAAGCTATCTAATGCTTATTATTGGCCAGGGTGGTGTAACCAGGTCCTGGAAATTAGAGATCCACCATGCAACTGTTCTTACAGCGCTTAAAAGTATAAATAATAAATATTCATGAAACACAATCAAACTCAAGCATGGTAAGAAAATAGGTAACTGGACCCAAGAGAACAGTTCATCTAACTTTAAGGGTTTTCAACATTTCAACTCAATTAGAAAGAAGAAAGAAAAAAAAACCATTATTTTTTACATGCACAGTAGCAGGAGATTGAACTCATTAGAGAGACTCTTCCATGAAGTTTTAATGCAAAAAAGAACATTACCCTTTTACCAATTATTGTACTTTGATATGAGAAAATGCACAGCTAAAAACTTTACCAGAGCGATAATCCAGGGTTTTTGTCAGTGCTCCTTTACAGAGATTACTTAGTTGTGACTCGATGTTGCTCAAGAACAGTGTTGCCTCATCGAAAGGCTTTGATAACTCCTCTTTGTATCTACGAAGAACCTCACAATATGATTCCTTCAAAAAAAAGCCAACAAGAAAAGAAAAGGTTATCCAATGATTTATTCCTAGAATATTGAGATTCATGCAACAAGCATTCTTCCATTTCCTTACATTTTCTTGAGAACCAAACAAATCACGAAAAGATAAAAAGAGCTTGTTTTTCAAAGACAAAATGAAGAATCTTTGACTTTAAAGTACCATGAACTCGTCAAGTTCTGGATCAGCTCCTATCTCACTGCAACCGCTTATAGGGTGGTTCTCTCGGCCAATTTCTTCAAGAAGAGAGGCCAGTTCAGGCGGTGCTCCAACCTATATATAAGAAAATACTCAAAGATAATCAAGCCCTCCCACACAGTTTATCTAGCATTGGAGAATCCAGATAATTTTTTTTATTATTGTTTGCTAGACTATTACTATTAAACTATAAAAAAGAAGCAAAAACTATTATGATAATTAATCTTAAAAAACAACCAAAAAAGCTAAATACAAATAACCACCTTTTGGCATTCTATGTAAGCAGATACTAGGTTTGGATAACGAGGGTGACCGGCGATCTGGGTCTTGATCAGATCAGACATATGTGATCCAGTGGCATCTGTGTCAGCTGCTTGATGATCAAATTGAAGTAAATGATCAACTGGACTGAGAAAATCAGTGGTAACAGCTGCAGTAAAGTTAGCTGCAGCAAAGTTATTAACCCTTACAATATCATTTGAACACGAGATTGTAGGATCATCAAGCCTGTACAAGTCTTCCATGGTCTTTTCACACGAAAGGGTTGGTAACAAAATCAAACCAAATACTTGCTAATCAGAATCAAACTCCTTGTTTGAAAGATCAGGCAACTCGGGTTTTATGTAAAAATTTCTAGCATGCCCTAGAATATCTAATAATGATCTCAGACTAGCACTAGACAAGCAAGCTTTCTAGTACTTGTACTCCATTAATCCATCCCCAAGAAACAAGCAGTTCAAGAATCCATGAACAGGTAAAGAGAAAATGGGAGCTTAGCCGAAGAATCTAAAGCTTTCGGAAACTTAGGGATGTTGAAAACAAGAAATAACAGCCGCCATTAGAGAAACCAAAACAGGTGAACTCTGAGAGAGAAGAAGAAGAGGAAGGGGAGCTTAGGAAAAGTTGTTTTCACATTTTAGTTGAAGTTCAACTAATGAAAAAGACCAGACCATTGCTTTCTTTTCCAAGATGAACGGAGGGAGAGAGAGAGCGAGATGGAGAGAGAATGTTGGGTGCGGATTGCTTGTTACACTTTGCAGAGAGGGATAGTCTAGTAGAGAGAGAGAGAGAGAGAGAGAGAGAGAACTAAAAAAGAGGGGATGGTCTCACGGACGTATTCACACGCTCTGGAATAGTGAAGATTTTTCATTCATTTATCGAAGCATTTCCATTAGATTTGATAAAATCATTTATTTATGTGTGTTTATTAATTATTGGATAGGTAAAGGTATAGCCCGTATCTATGGAGGTGAAAAAATCAATCTATTGTCTGTGTTTTTTAACTGTGACATGACATTCTGCCAGGTTTCATAACCTCATTGGTTGTGTTACTGAGGAATCTGGGTCCCTTAGAAATAAGGGAAGTGGATTACTGCTGTTCACGTACAGTGATTGGGTACCTTCTCTTCTCTTCCAGTACTACAAAAAAAAATCAACAATACCCTGAAACTAAATTTTTATGCCATAATTTTGAAATAAATTATACAAAAAAATCAAATAAATCGTAATTTTAAATTTTTTATTTTATTCATTTTTATTAAAAAAATATTTTTATTTATTTAATTTTTGTATAATCTTTTATTATTTGTAGTCACATTCTTTATGATTTATTTTTTAAAATTTTAATCTCTTTCAAAATTAAAAGTTCATTATAAAAAATTCAATATCAAAATAATTTTACTATTAATAAATTTTTTTATATATTAAGATGGGATTCAAAATCTTAACTTTTAAAATAATAATTAAAAAACTAAGCTTTTCACTGTAATTGCTAATATCAATATAGAACTCGGTAGTGCTGAAAATTTTTTTAAAAAAAATGGATTTCAATCCATGGATTTCGAATTCGTTTGATTTTAATTTGAATAGCAAATGTTTTAATTCCTCATGACTCATCCCTCTTCAGCTGTCCATTGAATTCACTTTGTAAAACTCACATAATTTTTGTATGGTAATTAATAAAATAAGATAAATTATTAAATATATTGATAATAAAATTTTTTAATTTTATAAATAAAATTAAGATGATAATATATATTTTTAATATATATTAAAAATAAAATAATTTTAATTTAAAAAATATTATATATATTATTATATAAATTTCATTTATAAAATTAAAAAATTATACTATCAGTATATTAAATAATTGATTTAAGCACATGATTCCCAAAGAAATCAACCAAACAAATTTTAATAGAGCAATACTCATGGATTTTTTATCAGTATTTTTAAAAATTGAAATTTCTTTTGCTAGGTAGGGGAGGGTGATAAGTATTATAGCCCTTGTACTGTTTCATTCAAAAGTTCCAAACAGATGATATAACATTAACCTAACCTAATCATCGGTAAAAGACTCTAACATTAAACTTTGTCTGCAGGAACAAAGATAGCAGCAACTACCAAGTCTATATAAACTATAGAATAGATCAGATTAATATTATATCATCTATTAGTGAAATACTAAAATTTTAATTTAATGATAAAAATTTAATTTCTAATTATTTAAAAAAAATTATGATACTTGTTAACATGGTTTCAGATTAATCTAACAACAAAAATTTTGATTTAAATTTATTACGTCAATTTGCTCGGTTAGTATGATCAATCTCTACAAATGACCAAACAATATATACTAAATTGTCATGTTATCTCTCTTCAAAAATTGGTTCTTCTCTAGTCAATGAAGGACTTATACAACATTCCTATTGATTTTTTTATCAAAATATCATTTTAAAACTAAATACTTAATTTTTAATTTATTTAAAATTATTATATACAATTCATATTTATTTAAAACTATTAAATATAATACACGTTTATCTAAAATCATTAAATGTAATTCATAATTATTCATAGACTCTATCAAACTTCATATATACATAATCAATTATCAATTATTTAAATCAAATTATCCTCATTCATCTTATATATAAAATAAAAAAAAAAGACTATAAATGTAACAACTTAAGGCTTAAGATTTTTTTTCATTAAAGCTTTAGACACATGTTTTATCTCTTTCTTTCTTAAATCCTAAATACATAATTAATTTAAATGTCGGAATATGCTTTGGAGAACCAATTCTAATGCTCTCAGATCGTGTTTTTTTATTATAAATTTATATCATTTCACCTTCAATCTTTCACATGCTCTTTCAAGCTAAAAAATTCAAAAATATCATCAATAAAATTGATAGTTTTGTGCAAATTTTCCGAATTATTGGTGACATGATACAGACAATTTTGTACCGGTGAAATTGTTTTTGTTTGGTCCAACTTTAGGGGTGCATTATCAAAGAGTTAATCTTTGTAAAACCTAAATTAACGGAGGAAAGAGACTTTCCTTTTGATTTTCGCCTCTCCTTGGGACAGAATATGACTTTTTGGAGGGTGATTGATTGCTTCTTTTTTTTTTTTCCCCTTTCCATGGTTAAGGTGATTGCTTTTTTTTTTTTTTAATGCTCCTTTAATCATTAAGTTTTGTCTTCAAATGACAATTTTATTTTTGGGGTTAGCTTGTAATGAAAGAAATGATGTTGCTTCAATTGAGTGACTATTTTTCCCTAAACCAATTAAGACTTTAAAAACTGGCCACTTACTTTTTTTTTTTAGGATGCATGGCACATGTTGCAATTTTGCGGTTTATTGAGATGAATAAGATTGTTTCTAATCATAATTTTCTATTAAAAAATACCCAAAAGGAGCAAAGTAGTAATGGGTATCTTACCAAGAAATGATTTTTTTGGAGGACCAAATGTGGTAATAAAAATATTTAAGGCGTCTGTAACGTTCAAAGGATAGCTGTTAAGGCAGGCGAATCTTTGACTTGATATGCTACACTTTATACAAACAAAAGACATACTAATTTGATTTGATTATTGTTTTATTGGATTTAGATGCTAAATAAATGCGTTATAATCCGAAGAACATTATAAAATGTTTGAGTGGCTACATGTCTATCATGATTAGTTTCACAGTAAATAAATAAACGGTGGATAAAAGATTCTTGAGCAGGTGCTAAATGAGAGCAATCTAGCTTGCACCAAATCAAAACAAAATGAAAATGATAAGAGATCCCCCAACTTTTTGGGATATAATTATTTGCCCCTTTTCATCGAAGCGCAATATTTTCATGATCATATCTCAGGAGTCAAGACAAACCACCCAATTCAATCTCACATCAAACTGGAACCCAAATTTTGCAAATTTTTTCCACAAATAAAAATTATTACGCCGTCGTTTACACTCAAGTGAATGAAGTGTATAAAATTATATTTAGTAAGGGACAATCATATTCGCCTCCGTTCATAAACATCTTTAACTGTCACATTCACCTACCTAGGACACTTCTAGTCCAGCTAATACATACAATATCAATAACTGTTGAAGATGATGGGGCAATGAATCAGCAAGATACGTTAATTTGGTGCTTGACATGTAAGTGGGCATGTGTGGAAATGTAAAGCAAAGGGGAATGGCCCCCATTCCCATCCCCACCCCCATGTTCAGTATTGTTCAATGCTCAAAGGGAGGAGAATTGGTGATGAAAGTTGGTGGCCACAATCAATATAATGTTGTCTATGGCACAAAATCAATGAATGACTTACCATAAGGAGTAGAGACATGAAGATAAGGTTAGGGGAGTAGGAGATGATTTATGGATACACAAGCCTAGCTTCCCCGGTTCCCCTACCCTTAACCCTACTCCTACGCCTATCCCTAACACTGATTTGACTGTACACTGCCCAGTTGTGGGGATCCCTTTTCTTTCCTTTTTCCTTCCTTCCATTTCCCTCTTATCGGAATTCAGAATAGAAACCCAATTGGACATACGACTACGAGAAATTTACTCCATTCTCAACCAATCTGCTCTCCGTGGATTGGTGGTGAAATGTTCCCTTTTCTTCTTTTGAATTTTTTTATTATAATTTTTACCATATGATCCACTTGTACCAACTAATAATAGGACTTAACAATCTCACGTGTGCATGGACTAGTAGTTCCTGATGGGGTTGATTAAGCCTTGTTTGAGTGAATGTATTGGTAACCTTCAAGAATAGAACAAAGGGTATTCTTAAACGGATGAAAAGATAGCCAAAAAGCCATAAATGCCCTCAAAGAATCACGAATGATATGATCATTAGTTGCGTGCTATTTGATGGTGCCCTATCTGAGCAGGTTTTGAAGATGCCAGTTTTCCACTTTGTCACTCACGAGTCACTGGGCATTTTAAAAACTAGGCTGAGCAGCCCAATAATGGCCCATCCAGACCGACAACAGCAATATGCAAACCCAAGAACCATACATAGAAAAAAGAGGTTGCTGGACTTGGACCCAAAAGAGGTTGAGTTCGTTAGTTTTGCGTTTGGGATACCAACAGTTAATGGAAAAAAAAATGACAATAAATTTGAGAAGGAGAGATAAGAGTGAGAGAAGCATCCTATGCCATGACTAAAACAAGCTCTTTGAAGAATAGAGTACATACAATGATTAATTAGGCATTTAAGCCCTCAAGGTACATTCTTTCTAGTCACTTCCTATAGCTTTACAACATCTACAATATTGTGGGCCATTCTTTTAACACTTCGCAGCTTTGAGGAAGTTGTCGAAAGGACTAGCAGGAGGCAACCTCATAGCCAAGCTTGGGTCTAGCCGCGAAGACAGCTCCATTAAAAGCAGTTTCGTCTCTTATCGGTATAAAGACCAGCAAACAAGTTTAAAAATAGAGCAGATCATGATTGAGACGTAGCAATGTTTGTCATAAACATTTTCGGTAAACGAGTCATTAAAGGTGATTAATGTGTTTTATGTCATGTTTCTGTTCTTTCCACACCTAGACTAGCGAGACATTGCAGTTTTATTAGAAAGAAAGACCGTTGTTAATCCCAAAACTTGAAGTAATTTGTTATTTAACTTCATAAGAGTCATCTGCCTATCAGCGGGAGCTGTTGGTAAAATTTTATCAGTAGCACCATTTTGATGGTTTTCGTGGGCCAACCAATTGCAGAGCTTCTTCCTTGTACATGTGCCAAATGCTTCACATTGGCTAGCCATGGTATCATA